TACGAAAAACCTTTTGTACATAATTTAAATATATAGTATTATAGACATTAAATACGATTGTAATATAAATTGTACTTATTTATTTATTTATATAAAAAAGTAGGCAATATTTGTTTTAATTTTTAACAAATAATAAAAGACATTTCAATTCGAGGTTAGTGATTTGCGTTTTTCCGCATCCTTTCCAGATATTCTTCTCCTTTGGCGACAATACCAAAAATACATAACATAGATGCTACCAAATATTTTTGTACTCAATAAATGCAAAATAAAATGAGACGATGACGTTGAAATTCGTCTGTCCGACTTGCAATTTACTATCGTTCCTGGTGAGCGTTATTGTGTCCGAAAAAAATATCTAAAAACTAATTTTTACAAGAAATTGCAAAATTAGTCAAATAAAATGTATACACGAAATGTAAACACGAAAAAAGTAAGAAAAAACAAACATTCGTCTTATAGGGTTATAAGATTTATTTGCAATAAAAATAATTAGTGAACTATGATCGAATTTGGAGGTTTTATTAGAAGTATGCAAAAATATGAACAAAAAAAAAAAATATTACGATTTGGTAAAACTGCTAGTAAACACTAATACTAGGGATTTTACATTGGTTTAGAAAACTAAATTGGAAAATTGTTGACACAATTGTTGATGCACAAATGACGCATACAGTGCACTCGCAATACAGGACAATCTATAACGATTAATATATTAATATTATTAAATACTATTTAGTATTTATAAGCGATGGTAAGTAGTGTGTTTTTAAAACAATCTTGAAAATTAAATCTAATCTATTGCTGCAGCCGCAAAAGTATACAATTTAACAATAATATTGAGATAAGATATAAGAATTAGATTATTATAAAATTATAAATTTACAATTTAGCGTATTTTTCGGTTGAATAATATTTTATTTCATTCTCTACTACTAGGTACCAAAAATATTATGTACGATAAAACTTACGTTTTACGTGTATGCAATGATTGTAATATGCTACGAGTTTTTTTTATTAAAAATATGCAGAAATATGCAACCAAATATGTGGAAAATGTGCAAAATAGAATAACCACCGTCTGCTTTCAAATAACATGACGTGATTTGTGTACATTATACACGTTATGTATAGCACGCCAAGGTATATGTGTGATATAAATCATGGCGCATCAATTAAAACTRCCGTAATTATACCTGCGAAAATAAAATTGTTTTAAACTACTTTGAACTTTCACGAGGAATCAATGAAATAAGACAAAACCTTTATAACAACTATTATCGGCACGCCGTCGTCATACGGGCTTGCTGCAGGATGAAAATAATTTATTTCGCGTAATGTATATTATGTCCTCAATATGCGCACAAAACCAATTGAAATAGAAATTTTCGACAAATAGGTAAATATGGCGACAATATATTGTATTTGGTCAACACGTATATGCAAAATTAAACCATTTTTATCCGCAGCAGCGAAGTCTCTTCTCCTCCTCTCGATTTCTCAAAAAACGATGACGGCTCACCACTGATYGCGTTTAGGAAAAATCTGTTGCTGATTTTGAAGTAACTATTTCGTTGGCACAYGTCTGCGGCGGAGACGCAAACACAACTATGACATATAGTTTTTATCCGACCGGGTGAGTGATCGTTTGTGAATACGCTCGATGAGACGCAGCACCACTCCGAGTTGAGGCTCTTTTTTTACCTCTCATAATATATAAGTCATCGTTTTGGGTCCGTASTCGTCTCGCTGGAACAAAAAATGTCATCTTTTGTCAGGAAATCGACTGCAGCCGAGCGACCTCGACCATTTGCACTGCTTTAAAAACGAAATCACSAACCAAAAAGTAGCTAATTAGTATAGAGTTCGGATTTTAAGGCAATATAGTCCATAAAAAAGCATTTAAAATATAAAAAAAGGTATTTAATTTATATAAAAAAGCAATTAAAAAATATAATACAAAATTAAATTTACTAACTAGTTGATATTAAAAAAAAAAAAAATCACTACCATGTACTTAAATAAGTTGTTTTCGGTAAAACTTTGACGGTTTGGACTCAAAATATTTTTATAGGTACATCGAAAAGGATCTTTCTACGTCCACCGAAGTTATCGGGGCGTATTTCATACATGAATGATGAATGACTATCTAAATTAAGATTACTAATTAGTAATTAGTAATTAAAAATAACAATAAATAAAACGTTTAACATTTTTCTCTTCGTCGATGAAGGTAATAAAAAAAAAATGCAATTTCCATTATTAGAAAATTAAAATCCGATGGACTGCTGCAGTTTAGCCAATACTACATATTATAGGCCTCTGATGGTTTTTTCCTTGCTATTCTACAYTTACCGAATTTGTCAACTACGGTGTTTTRAACCAAAACGTGGTAGCTATCGTGAAAATGGATAGTAAATTGAACCGACACGCGTCAAGTTTTGTAATTATTTTATTACTGTTATTAATAAAAGTCGTTCTTACTTCTTACCGATTATATGACGTACCTATTCATGTAGATATCGTATTCCTTTATAATCTAAACCTGTTGATTTATTAGTATTAATTGTGATAATCGATTAATTTTTAAATTTACCATATCGACCATAAATTCCAGAAACTGTTTAATACCAATGAAACCGCACAGGTTATAATATGCAACCAGATAGTGTACAGTGCACATCCTTGGAATGCAAGTTACCTATGAAATTCTCCTGAAATGTGAGCAATTAGCTATTCAAAACCTGCATTATATCGGTATCGGCGTTTATTGGAAAAATAGTTTTTGCGATTAACTATCGAGGATCATAAATTCATAACTATGCAGATCACTRGTATTCAGCAATCGCGTCAAATTCCATGAACACCGTTGTCATATTATTATTCTTAAATCATAATATAATACRTACTATGGATGGAGCTACAGAGTATTATTTCGAAGCCGATATTGTTCTGTTATATTAGCGACCAGTCTCTGAATAAGGTGTTCGATATGCGCATGCGCATAATTATTCATAGGCCATGCCCGAAGTCAAAATATAACAATATGACATGTGGGTAAATAAACGACGAATTGCGTCGCGCATGCGCATATCGAACACCTAATTCGTTGACTCGTCGGCTAATTTGGGCATCATTTTTTTTGTTTTTTTTTTTTTTTTGTATCGGTATAATACGCTGTGGCTCCGTCCATGGTATATGATCTAAGATATTATTTGATGCAATAAGATTATTATTATACTGAGGGTGATGTACTGTAACGTATTTATTCGTCATAATATTACGTGGTACTACTGCATTGAAATAATAAAATGCTACAGAAGAGCACAACATTCTGGTTTTATAAACCGTTAATTATTATCTGTGATAGCGGATTTCAAACCAGATAAATTTCAGCAAAACTATATATCCAATTTTTGTTGATCTTTTTATATTATTAATATATAAATAGAGTCTAGTTGGTTATCTATTTAGTCGAGCATGACATTACTTACTAACTAAATATAGATATTTTATGATCATGTCATGTTCTCGATAAGAACTCATCATAAGATCAAAAATATTATTTGTACGTAGGAAGTGGATTCGGCATGTATGCTCATAATTTTGCACTCGGAAAGCGAAAATGTAAACGGAAAATTATAATATTATTTATCGTTACACCATGAATAGMAATTCATGTAGGTATCTATGGGTTGTTCCGACCGGACAAATTTATTCAAAATTTAGTAATAAAAATATCGAAAAACAGTGAAATTATTATAATATTTTTTCGTTATCGAGAAATATGGTGACTTTCACTACAATGGCATGTCTACCTCATGCTCCATATATTACAGTAGACAAGCCACCGCCACTTAGAACAATTATATTATATTGTCTGTCCAGTTGTACATAATATGTAGGTACCACCACAGCTCACGGTCGTCAGACRGCTCAACAATTGCATTCCCTTATAAAATGTAGGYACGAGTACAAAAATATAAATATACAGACCGACATTAYGAAATATTTTTATTTTATTTTTATCACATTTATTCCACCAACTGTCGTGATAATTACTAATTAGTAGAATCCCCCCGAAAGAATGATGAACAATTTTAACAAAAGAAAAAATAATCAAATATTATAATAAYAATAACGCGATGAGTGTTTATCCAAGCGCATTAGCTATATATGCGTGATGGTTAACCATATGGTTGTGTTATAAACAAAAATATTGT